TAAAAAAATGAATTTTAAGCTCTTTTTTCTTGGAATTTGCACTATGCATATGTTTTCAACCCCTGAACACCGGTAATTAACAACTGTTTAAGGGAAAACATTTTTGTTTGTGACTAAACTATCTTGACGATGTTCTATTATTAGACAAACATTTAGCGGAATGTACTGGAAATTAAATAAAAAAAAAAAAAAAAATAAGTAAATAAATCGTAAAGAGTATCTTCGTCTACTCAAGAAATTTCATACTTAGATTTTATCTTAAATACAAAATTAATGAAAATGTATCCTACAGACACAAAGAAATGTAAGATTATAAAGTTAGTGCTGAAATTTTCCAGAAAATATAGATGTAATCATACTAAAAATATGTAAAATATAAATGTATCCATACTAACTATAAGATGGTTTGTTAGCAACTTACAAGCACTTTAATTACTTTTTGTCCCGCAGATAAATACAGCTGGTTTTATAGACACTAAGAGATTTGAATGAGCTAAATACGATGTAGCCCTTAAGGAAAATAATGAAAATTATATATATAATATATAGAATATAATGAATATACCGTATATAATATATACATATTATATGCGGTTCTTTGTGCCAACAAGTTTTTTTTTTCTGAAGTTTACGGCTGGTGGCTCAGAAATACAGAATATGCAGGTCAAAATTTCATGCCTCCTAAATATACTCTTACTTACTAGGTTATTGATGCATCAAAATCGGGTTAGGGTACCTATTGTAATTATTTAAACGCTAGAGGATTTTGAGACCAAGAATATCATATACTAATAGAATGGGAGGTGTAAAATATTTGCACCTTAATTTTATCACTACTAAAGTCTGGAAATGGTCGATTGTCCTTGACTTGTCCTTGAATTTATAAAAAGATGGTGTCCACTCGAATTTTTCATTAGAATTGCTCACAAAAAAGCTTGCTACTCTCCTAATTCGTGCAACTGGACAGAGAATTCAGACACTAAAAAATATAGCTAAAGTAGACGACTCTTCTATTAAGATTTATGTTTGCCAGCACTTTAGAAGCTTACCTAAAAAGAACTGAATCATTAAGAGGGGAAAAGAATTATCTTTTTCTTGCTCAAAAAAAAACACAAAGTGGCAATTTCCCAGTCTATAAGTCGCTGGATAAAGGAGATATTAAACGAAAGTGGAATCAACACAAAATTGTTTAGTACTCATAGTATTACATACGCGACGTCTTCAGCGGCCTACAGAAAGGGATTTAAAATTGATAAAATAAAGAATACCATAGTGTGGACATCAACATCAAAAGTATTTCAAAAAATTAATCGTCCACTGAATAAAAGAAAAAAAAATAACTTTATAAAAACAGGCAGGAAGTAAGTGCAGTCATTATAAACTGCTCTAGTAAGTTGCTCTTTATTCTGTTAATGTTAATAAGTGTATTTTATATTTTTCTAATTACTTATATTCATATTCAAATTCAAATAGTTTATTTACTTTTTTTTTAAATATTAATATACAAATTAAAGAAAGCAAAAAATTAGATAAAAGGGACTGTGTCGCGATTATAAAAAAAAAACCACACACAAAAACATTAAATGTTTTTGTGTCATACTAATACCCCGCTGGCAAGCGAACCTTTAGGTCGGCGTTTACATGTATAGAGTGAGTCGTTATGGCAATCTACTAAGTCGGAGTGAGCAAAAATACGAAGTATTTATTACATAACTACTTAATCTGACGCTAGATTCCATACGCTTGGGAAAATACTCGCCTTTCAGTACATCTTATTTTACTAAGCGTGTTGACCGTACTCTTCGTACACATGAAAACCGGCACCCAAGACCAAAAATGCCGACCCTTAGTATAATATGTATGTGTTATACTACTACTATGTGTTTGGTTTGGTTATACTAATTTAGAATCATAATTATGTGATACATATTATATTACATTAATTTTTTGTTGCTATTTTGTTATATATTATAATAACATGTATGTAGGAGTAGATTATATATATTTTTGTTTTGTGGGTTTGATATATTATATTTAAATGTACGTTTATAGTAATGTTATACGATTATGTATATTTTACATCACCTGTTTTAAAAAATAGCAAAATATAAACTGCCACAAAAGAATTTCTTTTCTTTCAACATCTACGGGTGTATATCTATTTGGACGAGGATACGAAATATAATTATAAGAACAAACGACTTACCTGTAGGAAGTTCGTTCTGAATTATATGAGTATCCTCGTCCAAATAGATATACACCCGTAGTATCATTATCATACTTTATCGAGCACATTTTATTCCCAATTACGTAAAGAATGCATTTTTTGTTAGCCATAGGCCTTAGTCATCCGCACCCGACCGTCAGCCTTCTCATAACATTATTTTGCTTTTAAATCAAAAAAGAATTTCTTGGGAGGGCTAGTATCGGTAGGGTCGGGACCTATCTATTTGGACGAGGATACTCATATAATTCAGAACGAACTTCCTACAGGTAAGTCGTTTGTTCTTATAATAGTTGATGGAACTGTTAATAGTGCAAAATATTGTGATATTTTAAATGGTTTTCTTCTTGTGAAACGGCTCATATTTCATATCCAGAGGGGTGGCGTTTTCAGCAGGATAATGCAAGATGCCATACGTCTGCCTATACTCAAGCTTGGATGCAAGAACACCATTTGGCAACAATTCCATAGCCAGCAGCTTCACCAGACCTTAGTCCCATTGAAAACATATGGGGACTAATGAAGATTGAAGTGGAACGAGCAGCTCCACGAAATAAACAAGATTTGATTCGGTCAGTTTTACAGGCCTGGACTACCGCCACTGAACATTATGGTGTGAACCTAGTTTCGGATGTACCTGGAGGTTTAGTTAAGTGTTTGGAGTTAAATGGAGGTTGTTTGAGTAAATAAAATTAATAATTTGTTATGATTTTTATTAATTCAAGTCTTAAAAATATATATCGATAATTGTAATTTTGCTTTCTTTTTTCCGGATACTTTCTAGACGGACTATAGTTTGTGTATTGAAGTTTATTATAAATGACATTATTGAATCTATTGAATCTTTCCATCTTTACTGTTGCAAAGAACCAACCAATTTAATAATTTAATTGCTACTAATTGGATGTGGGTATCGAAGGCTAAAAATTAGCAAATTATATTACAAAGAAATGAAGTCAATGTATCCTTTCATTATAATAACTCTCAGTCACTATGAAATGAATTAGGAAAAATTTAAACGCTCACTAGCATCATATTGACTTAGGAGTGATAGCCTTCCAAAAGTTCATCAGCTGTTCAAAGCTTGACGTCAGTGTGTACCTATAAATTTTTTACCAAATATCTAGATTTGTCAAAATTTGACAAGGGGTCACTAGCAAGAAGCAACGACCTCATGTTAAATTTACAATGAATGTGAAATTAATTTTATTTATGACGATGAATAAAATAAAATGAACAGTATAGAACATCATTCACAAAAAAATTGCCATTTAATTTTATTATTAATATACTGGGTGGCTCAGGGTCTCAAAAAACTTTTTGTGGGTATGCCTATTACTAATTCTTTATTATTACAATATACGAGGGGCAATAGTAGCGTAGATTTTAAAGATACAGGGTGGCGCCGCTCATACGCCGCGGAAGCTCCAAGGAGAACAGTAGTTTATACCGAAATAAAATTTTGGCAGCATATGTAGGTTAACTGAAAGCATTTTATAAAAATACTAATTGAAACCTGGCGCATCCGCCACGACATCGGAAAAAAAGATACTTTTTATTTTTTGTTTAATTAACTGAAAAACAAAAAATCCGGCGACGACAGTTTTTAGAAGAGCCTATTAGTAAAAAAAGCAATTTTCTAGAGTAAGTCGTTACTTCAGTAGAGACGACACAGATAAACATTAGCATTTTATATATGTAGATATAGAATTCTACCGGGTGTCCCCAAAAAAAGTTACACATCAAAGTTTTTTTTTTTTTTTTTCTAATGGAACACCCTATATATTAATTGATTTTCGGATTCTAGGAAAAAAATAAAGGTAAGTTTTATTAAAGAAGCATATACCTAAAATCTAAGGATTTTGACATATTTCACATTTTGTGAAAATGAAGAGTAAATTTTAAATTTCGATAACAGCTACCTAAATTTTAGTTGACCTTGTATAGCCTGATATTTAATTACAGTAACCATTGTATGTTAAACTAAATTGAAATTTGACCAGAAAAGTTATACAGGGTGAGACAAAATTAATATAGAACATTAGTCACTTTTAAAAGCAAGTTACTCCTTCATTTAAAAAAAAAACTAGATAAAAGCCTATAATTATGTGACAAAAATTAGGTAGATGAAATCAAATGCTCAAAATGCTTCCTTTCCTGTTAACTGCATAAAATAATTGTCTTTTCAAAAGAATATTTTCATTTTGAAAGGTATTATGTGGAGTTCTACCTCGAAAAGCAGCTACAATAATTTCTCTCATCTTGTCGACAACAGTTGGTCGAGTTTTTTAACACTACTGTCTAACATATCCCCATAAAAAAATAAGACTAGATAAAATCAGGAGCATTTAAGTACCTATTCTATTAACTACAAACTAATAGAACCATATCAATAAATTATTAATTATTTAATAGGATATCAATATAAAATAAAATAAAATAAATAATGATAAAATTCAAATTATTAATTTATTTTTAATAAATAAAATATAGGTGTCCATCGAACTGAAATTGTCAGTGAATTATTTCAAAAGCTACCCTAACATCATTTTATTTTCGATTGTATGGTAATTTTATTTATACTTATTAGTTTTATTTTCTTTTTATGTATACACAAGATATTATTACGTTATTGTAATCGTTAGGAACGTTAATATTATCAACGCTTTCTATTTTTTGTTTCGATTCACTTGAGTAAGAATACCACTCAACCGACTAACCGGCTATCGACAAAATTATAATTATTTTAACTTATGTAATTTATTTTTTATTTCAGCGCCTTAATAAGGAACATGACCTTAAAGTACCTGAGAAAGACACTGCCCATTCTGAGAGCAGATGAGACTCTCCCCATAATCACTCAAGTTGAACAGCAACCACAAGAGGATGGAATAGCACAAAACTCGTAAGAGACACACCGATTATTATTGATAAATAAAGAAATAATAGAAAATAGTCCTCTGTTTTCAAATATAATGATATTAAACTTTATTATACCGGGTGGTGCATTGTCGTTGGAAACATGAAAATCCTATGCAAATTTTGAACTGTCCAAATACTGGCTCCCTTATTAATTTTTCCCAACAACAGTTTTCAAAAACAGCATAAAAAATATTTTTTGGGATTTTTTGAGAACTGCATTTTATTAAAAACCTAGAGTTTCATGACGATAAATATATATTTCATATTTTCATATCAATTAACTAACTAAATATGGATTTATGTCATATACCTATACCGGGTGCGTCTCAAAAGTGGCTCACCCTATATAACTTTTTTATTTTTTCAGATAAAAAAACGAGATTTGGTATGTTAGTATATGACCTAAATTAGGATTGATTAATGTATTCAATTGTTTTTGGTCACTTCCTGTTTCACCGGAAATGACTACAACTTTTGATTTTTAAATGGCACTCTCGGTATTTTTACTTTATTCGATAGAAAATTATATTTTGAATAGAATGACATATCATATGTCAACTTTTGACATTCTCGCTTAAAAAAAATCATATTAAATGTAATTCTAAAATCTTAAATTTCAATCTAGAGTGCCATGGCTATGTTAAAAACACTAATTCGTATTTTTAATCATATCTCATTTTTTTCAAACGGAACGAGGGCGGCTCATTAGCGTATTTGGAAAAATCATTTTTTTACGAATAATTTTATACCACATACCTAGTATTTCGAAAATGTCAAAAGTTGACATATGATACCCATACAGCACACTTCGACGAAAATTTTATGTCCATTTTACGTCGGTACGTCCCGGGACCAATTAGGGACGTACTATGTACGTACAAAAGTATACGTACATAGTACGTGCCCCATGTACGTACTATTTACGTACATTGTAGGACTTCACTACGGACGTACATGCGAGTACGTACTACGGACGTACATGCGAGTACGTACTACGGACGTACATGCGAGTACGTACTACGTACGTATCTTGAAAATTTTTGAAAACGCATTACAAAATGTTATTTAATTTTAATATAATGACTGGATTATTTTGGTCAGATATACCCAATAATAATGAATGGACTGGATCAGTGGATCTTTTCTAGGCTAACGTTAATTCAAGTCACTCTAACCTACCTCTACTTCTTTTATTAATAAATCTAACCCGACCGCTATAAAAAATGATTTCCTAAATTATCCAATGACCATAATGCATGACAGTCTTTGAAGAAATCTGATGGGTTAAAAATGCAATATATTATGCAATCAAGTCTAACAGGAAAATTATGCAGTCCTATGTTTAAATTTCCCGTTATTCGATCACATTTGAGTTTTGTCGGAATCGGAAGTCGGGCGGTTTCTAATGGCGTTTTCGATTGGCAGAGCTAGAAGGCACGTGCGCACTCAGTGTAGTTCCATCTATTACTTATAGTTTATACCATGGTTTTTTATCTAAAAAAATAAAAAAGTAATATGAGTGAGCCACTTTTGAGACGCACCCGGTATACCAAATCTGTTTTTATCTAAAAAAAAACGTATAGGGGTAAGCCGCTTATGAGAAACACCCGGTATAATATTCTAGTCTGAAATAAAATAGATCAAATTATATCCAAATAGCTTGCTTTTTAGTATTTCTTTTAAAGAAACATTGCTATTATAAAATTCACTTAAATAGCATTAATAGCTTTAGTAGAACTCTAAAATTGCAGAAAATAGAGTAACAAAATAATAAAAGATCTTTTTTATTTGTGGTTCATTTTTCAGTCTCAATCCATACGAAATCAACGACAGAAACTACAGAGCGAAACGCGCAACACCCTTCCAAAACAACACCAGCTCCACCACTTCAACAGGGAACCAAACAGAGACAGAATCCTCACCCGCAAGCCATTCGTCAAATTCATCAACTTCTTCAACATCTTCAGATCGAAAAGCGCGGAAATTCTGCGATCAAGGTGGAATTTTCTGCTCTCTGTACAAGGTGATTAATGGAGACAGTGATTCTTCAAAGTCCGGACCTGCTCAGCTGCCTTTGGAAAGAAGGGATGATAACGTAGCGAAGTACGATGGGCCTCCCACCCCTTGCCCAGCAAAGGTTGAATATGCCACGCCTGTGTTCGCCAAGAACTACCAAGGGATTTGGAGATACGTGGTGCAGATACCTTACGAAGGGTACTTTACTCAAACTGTTGAAGTTACAAGGTAATTGAATCATTTTTTTTTCAAAAAACATGTGCCATCTCCGTAGGGAGATTCCTCACGTAAAAATAAGATTTATTTTTCATATCATACTGAACATCAGAACGTACAGAAAAATCTCTCTTTATGTACCGTCTCCATATCGGAGGTTGGCTATCATCATTGCTATTTTGACCTTGGAAGCTGCGGCCCTAAATAGGTCAGATGACGTGACATTAAACCTTTTTCGCAGGTTTCTGAGCTAGGATATTCTTCTCCTTCCAACAGATCTTTTTCCTACAATTTTTCCCTGGATTATGAGTTGCAAAATCTCATACCTTGGACCCCTCATGATATGGCCGAGATATTGCAATTTTCTTTTTTTCACTTCTCTGATGATCTCTACGCCCTTCCTCATTCTTCTCAGAACCTCCACGTTGGTTGCATGTTCTGTTCATGATATTCTCAACATCCTACGGTATGTCCACATCTCGAAGGCCTCCAGTTTCCGCTCGCAAAGCTCGTTGAGGGTCCAAGCTTCCATACCATACAAAAGGACTGGGAATACATAACATTTGGGCATACGAGTTCTCAGATCTAGGCTCAAATCGCGGCTACAGAGCAGCTTCTTAATCTTCATAATGGATGCACGGGCCTTCTCAATGCAAAACTTTGTTTCTGAACAATAATCCGCGGTGCAGTCGACACTTGTACCCAGGTAGTCATACCTCTCTACTCTTTCGAGCTCCTCGCCTTCCGCGTACAGATGTTCATTGGGCACTCCAGTTTTAGTGACAATCATGTATTTGGTCTTCTTAACATTGAGTGTCAGATCATATTCTCGACTAGTTGTGATGACGTTATTTAACATATTCTGAAGGTCTTGCATGTTTTCAGCGAGAAGGACTGTATCGTCCGCGTAGCGCAAATTGTTCAGTTGTATGCCGTTAACTAGTATTCCACCAGCATCATTTTCGATGGCTTTGTTAAAGATTTCCTCTGAGTAGACGTTGAAAAGGAGTGGTGAAAGAACACATCCCTATGTCTAACTCCTCGTTTGATATCCACTGCTCTCGTCCTCGTCAGTTCAGATTGGACGCGAACAGACGCACTTTGATTAAGGTACAGTTTTACTATTATTTGTATATCTCTTGTATCGAGATTTTTTCGTTCTAACGCTTCTATTAGTTGCTTGTGTCTTACTTATAGGTAGGGGTACTAAGACACAAGTAAGACACAGAAAAATAAAATTGTATTTTTTTACGTAATATAAAAATCGGTGAATCATATGTTGACATATTGTGACAAATTTTAGTAGACTGTTTCTTAGTTAAAACCAGTAGCGGCTCGTGACCATTAGAACTGATGAGGCGACGCAAACGCGGACGAACGTAAACAAAAAGACCGGGGGGGGGGTCTAAGCTGCAACAAGTTTTAATTTTTTTTGTTCCTCAGATATAATATGTTTGAAGGTTTAACCTACTAAAAATGTCATAAGAACTTTTTTTTTGTTTTTATGTGTTTATTTTCTTTTTGTTTTTTTAAGCAGCTAAGCAACAATAAGCTAGAGATTTTTTTGTTCCTCAGATATAATAAGTTTGTAAGCATAACTTATTAAATAAGTTATCATCGGAACTGTTTCTTTATTTTTTATATAGTATATAGTATAAATAATATAACATATATTAGGTATTAGCTAACTAATCTAATGATCGTAATATAACAGCTCTAATTTGAGGTTTTCGTTCGGTTAGTAAGACGGAATTTGTCACATTAAGCTCTACGACGCGCGACCCGACGACATAAATAAGAAACAAACAAGTAAAAAATAGTTAAAAAATTAATTGTATAAGAATTATTCCTTGTAGGTTAAGTTTATTCGTCTGTCTTTAAGAATAGCAAATTTATCAATTATGTCATCATAAAACTTCCCTTCGTTCTCACTAAGGGTAAGCAACAGCTCCTTTTCAATTGAAAATAAAGACAGAGCAGAAAGTCTATCTTATAACATTGTATTTCTTAAGTAAGATTTTATCCGTTTTAGACAAGAAAAATCCCGCTCGGCTTGAACACTTGTAATCGGGATTATTAATTTGTCTTTTTATCATTTGTTATAACACTTATCTGGGGAGTAGGTCTGTTTCCCTGTAAGACCTCCCGCTTTTCATCCTCCTGTCTTCTGGAAAACGGGGTTTCTAGAAGGGACATCACAATGTCATGTACATGATTCATTTTAAAGTCTGATTATTACAAAATAAATCACTAAACTCTGAATTACGGCTAGATCACACTACTTGCTACTCACAAAAGCATAAAACAAACCGACCGAACAGACGTGACGTTTAGTAATTCCCCGAAATATCTAAAGTTAATTATTTTGACCAGTATTGCGTGGATGCCAAGAGTTCATATAATTCAAATTTATTCTATACTCTCTTCGATATACGATATTATTTCCATAATTATTGATGGGGTATTTCGTGAAGATCAATTAATAGATTAATTTTAATTACAAAGAGCATTATAATATCGCATTATCCAGCCATATCAAGCACGAATTGTTTATGAACTTAACAATCAAGTTTGTAAAGAATGTATTTTTTTCATGAATCTGGCAACAGCGTTGCACCTAAGCGATTTGGCTGTCGCCTCTGCAGCAGCTAATTTCACGCTTTCCCTCCGCTTCCCCGGCCCACTGATTTCAATGTGTGACGTTTTAGTTCATTGATAAAAAAAGGTCGGCAGAGGCGGCAAAAATTACGCCTCAGGAACGCAGAACGAAAAGATTCATTGTAGTCCAGTTAAAACAAACGATATGGCGCGATCGGTTGGTTTAGACCGATCGAAAAGTAAAAAGCTTGGTATATTTTAATAAAATTATTCAATATTAATATAGCTATAATATAAATATACGATTAGCTGGAAATAAATTTGTGTACTACTAAAGGCTAGAATTTCGAGGTGAGGCGCGCGGCGCCTCAGTTGCCTCACCTGACGGGCCGCCACTGCTTAAAACTAAAAATATTTCAAGTCTTTAGTAGACAACTTTGCACATGTTTTAACACCCTGTATTTGATGTATTTCGTCACTTAATCATTACCTTTATAATAGCTTCAGATAAACCTATCAGCAATGAAAAAAAATCAAAACTATTATATTAAACGAAAATGCCGTCGCATCGAAAGAAAAACGGCGTCAAGTTGGCTTGGAAATTGTAAATTATCCCTTTTTTTTCTACAGATGCGTACAATCAAGATGTCACTACTTGGACGGTGGCTGTCTGTCGTCTCCTCGCTGGTCCAGTCTTCTGGTAGCAGAAATTAACTATCCAGACACCGTTTTGAGCGCCAACGACATCAAGAACGTCCAAAGAAACCCATTGTCCAGCTCTCAAGCACCACCATTCCAAGATTTCCAAGTAAAAACCATCCTTTATTTGCTTTTTCAAGACTTAGTTCATATTTTTTTATTTAATCCACAGGATTACCACCAATACCTTCAGAAAAGAACAGGCCTTCAACCTAATCAGCCTGAAACGTCATCAACCAATAAGCCTACTTATTGTGACGGGGTTGACGCTCTTGGGTGCTTCCAAGTCAGACTGTATTACGATTGGTTCCTTATCCCTGGTTCATGTAAATGCTGGAGGCCAGACTATTTTAATAAGTACGTTAGAAGAAAATCGCCGTCTGGAGATCTTTAAAAATTAAAACTTAGTAGTACTAAAACAGATTTTGGTGTGTTGTGATTTGGATTTTTTAATTTATATACTTTGATTCGAGGAACTCGAACGCTTTAATAACGAATTTATTTTATGATGGTTCCTCTGGATCGATGTGGAAAATATAAGACTACACTGCTTGACTAGAGAAAATTAGATTTATTAGCAGCAGAAAAATCTACTTTTCTTTTTATTGCAGTATAATTTTTTTAATCGAAAATAGTATTAATTAAATAGTTAGTAAATGTAATGTTAAGGAAGATACTACCTTTATATTGTATTTTGTTAATTATTTTATAAATAAAACGTTTTAATATCCCTAAAAAAGTTTCTTATTTCATATATAATAAATACATTTATAAGAATATGATTATTCCTACGTTCCTACTTTGGTAGATAATGCCGGAGATTAGAAACGAAGAAGCTTATAACTCTAACCCAATTTTTGCCTGTCACCCAAATGAATCGGGCAAATTTATTCCAAATGTTTTAAAAATCCCATATTTTTGGGTAATTTCAAGACTGTAGAATGTAGCATCTAATGTTCGTATAACGGAACGCAAAAAAACGTTAGAAACGTAAGTTTATAATGTGATAGACCATCGTTGTCCAGATGTTACGGATTTTTTCTAACGCACATATATTTTCGCCTGTAGATCGAAATCAAAACCTTGCCCAAATAAAGTAAGACTGAATAAAAATGTGCTCTTTAAGTACCGAGGCCCAAATTAGATACCTTCTGCAATGGTTCCAGGAGTGGAGCGAACTTCAAAAATCTGATTTTCTCTTGGTGCTCGCCGATAATTATGCTCATAAGGCCTACGTTAATGGAATTGTAAATAGCATTGCCAATATAAACTGCAGGGATAAGCCAATGTCCATTTTTGAATGTAGAGTGAGTATATTTTGTATTGTTTTATTATGTTTATACTAATGTGTGGTTTTAGATTAAACTATTTAAAGAATGGTTTACTCAGTGGAACATTGAGCAAAAAGATACATTCCTTAAGAAGCTTGGAGACATTGATCCTAATTTTATGGAGAAATTGAACGCAGAAATTGAGAAGAATGATAAATTACATGCGGATGAAACAATCTCAAATGATAATTCTTAATGTTTAGAAAATTCATGTGTGCAGTATCACTGAAAGACATATTATTATCCCAAAAATTTTACATTTATTCGTTAGCATTTATATATACTTATTGTGAAAAGAAATAATGAATTGGGCTGTGTCGAGATATTGCCATTTTGGACCTGATAAAATAATTTACTCTCTTTTTTTACCCAAAATTGAAAAAAGACATACTGGATTGGTGGAGGGAATAATTCTCATAATCTTAAGAAAACTGATATTTCATTCAAAAATATTGTTATTTATTTATGAAGTTGTTTAAGGGAAAGAAATCAATAATCACATTAATTTATTTTAATATTTTATTTATACAAATAAAAAAATATAGATTATGTAGAAGTTTATAAAAATATATAATAATCAACATGTAAAAATATAACAATATGTCAAAAGCATAACATATGCTAACTACTCTTTTTAATAACAATAATCAAAATAAACAGTATTGCAATATATTATGTCTTATTGTGTTTATATTAGTCTTAAAAAATAACTCACTAAATATAAAGGTTTTTAAATAATATCTAATTTTTGGAATCATTTCACATGCACGAGCCTTAAATATATCAGTATGATGATAAATAAATATAATTAATTTAAATCCTAGAAATATCAGCCAAATTATAATTCTTAAAAAATTCTTTGATAGGTACTAAATAGAGTATGATTGTCAGTTTAAAACTTTTTAGGGCTCATCAACTTATATTTATTCTTAATCATAATATAGTAACTATGGTTTGGTATAGGATGTATAATATGTATATAGTCTGTCCGATGACTGGGAAGATTTCGACAGACGACATCCAAAAAATGACTGAAAATACGATTGGCCTGTGAATTAAAATGACAGACACAACTGTCAGGGATCCTCCCATTAGACAGACTATAGTCTTTATTTTGCTTCACTGTCTGTATTGGAAGTTTGTGAATACTTTTGTAAAGCTTTCTGACAGAGAATTCTTATGTTTGGTTGGTTTAACATCTCAGCTTCTTTCAAAATTCTCCTTATGTCCATAATTCTTTTGTATTTAGTTGCCAAAAAATAGGCGGTTTTCAGTTGTCTAGCTTCAATATAAGCTGAAATCTACGAAAAAAACATAAATTTGCCGCATGTTCGTAAAGCTAAAATCTTTCTGGATAGAAAATATACAGGGTTGTTCACCACATACGACACGGAGTATTGTAGCTAAACAATTAGATTTTTACAAATTGTAAGTTTTGGGTTCGTTGAAAAACTATTAGAGCTACAATTTAAAAATATTTTTACAAGATACACAGTGCCCCAAACTAATATAAAATATCAAAGTTGTATTTTTTTAAAATGGAAAACCCTATATATTATTACATTTTTAGTTTCTTCGATTAAAATAAAGGTAAATTTGATTAAGGTTTATATCACTTAAACCTTACGGTTTTTGAAATGTTTTCAATTTTGTGAAATACAGTAAAAATTTTAAAGCTTCATTTCTACCAGGGTATCAAAGTTTTTAATACTAAATATTTATTGAAGTTTATTTATTGATCAGTTATTGTGTTGAAATAATAAAAACCATACTACCTCATACAGAGTGTGTAAAAATTTATTTTAAATAATTACTAGCTTTAAACGGCAATAACTTGTTAAATTTAAATGGAACACCCTGTATATTTTAGGAGAATAAGATACACAATTAAATTGTCTATCAAATTGTATTATACCATTTTTTACCCATCCCTTCAAGTTTTCGTAGAAAATACATATTTTCTTATAATTTAGACCTCATTTATGACCACATTTTTTACACATTGGAATATTGACATTTTATATTGTTTTTAAAGCAACAAATGTAACGATAATATTGCAAGTCCATTTGTTTACAAGAGGAATCTATTTAAATCTTTATAAAAGAGTACCTATACCATTAATTAAATATACATATTTATTATAAATATACATACCATTTTTTCCGCCCAAATATTAATTACATACTTAATTGTGTTGGTTAATAAATTATTCTAAATAAATGTAGATTTGAATCAGAAATCAATATAATAAGTTATTAAAATAAACGTCTCTGTTGTTATAAATATGCTGTCGTCAAAAAATGAAATAAAATTTTTAAGGTATTATTTTTACCACACTGTGTAATACACATACAAAATTCAGTTTTTTTAGTATTTGGAGAAATTATTTATTAATCAACGCAAACAGTCAATTAATGTAGTTTGAATACTGAAATCAATTAATTGGTCCTCTTTAACAGATATTTAAACAGTTTTTTGTTATTTTTTAATTAAATAAACTAACTATAAAGACAATATTAGTATCTGTACTCTTTAAAAACGTGTTACATTTTTAAAAATAATCTAAAATGTCAAAATTCGGTATTTAAACTCGTGTATTTGTATACAGGGTGTCTCAGGCTGAGCGTGCATTAGAAGTTTCTAGAGAACCACAATATCTAGATCGGAGATTTTTTGCACATCATTGTTTTACAACGAGATCTATCGCTTAAAAATATTTTCAATATGGCGGCACTTCCGGAAATACCGGAAGTTGACAGCAACTTTCTTATTTTAAATGGGTGCCCCCATTTTTTATTACATACTTAAATTCTCTGTAAAATTCTATGAATACTGATGTTAAACACTCTATACCTACCATTAACCGTTTTTGAGAAAAAAAAAATATTAAACATTTTTGGATGAAAAAAATTACCTGTCGAAAAAAATTGTATAACCTAAAAGTCAAACTAAATGATTACCACAGCCACTATGTCATAAAGAGAAGACATGTGGCTATCTATTTCAAAAATTAAATTGTTCAAATGTCATATAATAATGGCAGTAGCTGTCATGGAATTGAGCGATTAAAAAATTATCATAAATCATTTTTTTTCAAATGGAAACCCACTTTTTTTTATTTCACTAATAAAAAGGTTTTTCAATTCGTTACTTTCTAGCTATACATGTTCCTATACCTAAAATAGATCGTTTTTAAGGTTGTTATTAGTCGTTAATTAAGGTTGTTATTATTTTAAGGTTGTTATTATTGTTATAAGTTGGTAATCGGGGTTTAATTTGAAAACGTATATTTTTCTTGATTTTATCTAGCTTCCTTCGACATTAAGTGTCAAACGGTCAGAAAATTTATTTCCATCTGTCAGAAAACGAATTATTTGAATTTCCTATATTATAAATACTGCCTACCCCTTAAGAGTTTAAAAAGTATATTTATAAAAATATATCTCGTATTTTCGCTCTTTAGCTTTGTCTTTAGTGATATCTAATAGTTGATATGATTAATAATATTCCGTATGATCGAAAAAAAACAGCGCAAAGTTAGCTCGGAAATGATCTGCTCTTTTTGAACAAAGCGCTCCTTTTTGAACAAAGCGTCACAATATGAAATGATTAGATCTATTGTTTTATATTACTTGACATTTAAAGTCATAGGCTACTGGTTAAAACCAAGGAAAATATACGCTTTAAAACTAAATCTTAATATAATAACTCAAAATGATTTATTTTAGGTATAGGAACATGTATAGGCAAAAAGTAACGAATTGTAAAGCCTTTTCACTAGTGAAATAAAAAAAGTGGGTTTCCATTTGAAAAAAATTACTTATGATAATTTTTAAATCGCTCAATTCTATGACAGCCGCTGCCATTTTTATATGACGTTCAAACAATTTAATTTTTGAAATAGATAGCCACATGTCTTCTCTTTATGGTACAGTGGCTGTGGTAATCACTAAATTTGACGTTTAGGCTATACACATATTTTTGACAGGCAGTTTTTTTCGTTCAAAAATTTTAAATATTTTTTTCTCAAAAACGGTCAATGTTAGATATAAAGTGTTTAATATCAAAATGCATAAAATTTTACAGAGAATTTAGGTATGTAATAAAAAATGGGGGTACCCATTTAAAATAAGAAAGTTGCTGTCAACTTCCGGTATTTCCGGAAGTGCCGCCATATTGAAAATATTTTTAATCGATAGATCCCGTTGTGAAACTATGATGTGCAAAAAATCTCCGATCTAGATGTTGTAGTTCTCCAGAAACTTCGAATGCACGCTCAGCTTGGGACACCCTGTATACCGATTGTTTACAATATTCTCCAACACCGGCGGAGAATGCACCAAGCCTATACTAAAACAAAAGTGAAATTTAGGGACTTACTTTCACAGCCTTGTCCGATATAAACCTAATCAAACTTTCGACTTGAGCTTCGGGTGCTCTAGCTTTGGTCAACGTGGCAACAGCGTGTATCAGCATCTCGTCGCACATCTCCGTCACAGTCTTGTCTCCGGCGTCGCTATTTTTCCGTATAATGTCGACCAGTTCGGCTATAGATCCGAATTTTTCGGTCTGAGCTAAATACTTGCCTGCTTCATTGAACACTTTGATAGGTTTTAGTTTAAATTCGTTAATAATCCTAAAAGTAAAATTGTTATAGAGGGTGTCCCAGAAATAAGTGCAAATATTTTAAGGGGTGGTAGATCTCGATAACAGAAACATATTTTCTCTCTATCGTTTTTCAAATAAGTCCAAAATATGGAGGGCTTTAAAAAGGAGATTTATCGGCAATGGACATATTTGAAATTTCTGTCCCTACTTTAAAGCAAGTTTCTCGTTTTGACACCAGAGGCACTGTAAGCGTGTGAGATTGATCATTTTCATTGTTAGTATACGTTTTAACTGTATTTTTGCTAGTTTTTGTTAAAATTTAGAGTTATACTGTTGAATTATTAGCAGTGTACAATAAGTGTTATTAAAAAACCCTATACAATAGATATTGCTTCGTTCCTGGCTGTACATGTGGGAGTTTCAGTGGAAAAAAGGGCGAATAAAGAACGGGGTGAAAGAAACCCAAGCCTTTTCAACGTTAGTATATTCTGTGCTTTTCAAAGCTCCTAGTGTAAGTGATATGACTATTTATTTAAAAAAAATATGGATAGACGTTAAGAGAAACATTTAAATTATGTACTGTCAGTGTACAGGGTGGGTCAAATTCGACGCTTTTAAATGGAAACACCCTTTTCTATAGGAGATAAACGAAAACTAATATCGGTGTCTGGAGCTCAATTTTCATCAAAAACACGATGGTGAAAATCGCACATCAATATCTGTTACCGTTTCGGAGTTACGGGGTGTTTTTCAAAAATGTGCATTTTTAACAAATCGCTGTAACTTTTTTACTATGGAAGATTTTGTATTTCTATGAAAACATTTCCAAAGCACCTTTTTAAGTAGAATTTAATGGTTTAAGTATAATTTTTTTTAAATTAATAATTTAAGAGTTATCAACAGACAAATTGATTTTTTTTATTTGGGACACCCTCTATATTTTTAATTAACTGAAAAGAATTTAAAATTACCTTTCCAAAAATATAGCACACTTGATATTTTGTTATAATCCCCTTCGAAATACAGAATTTTTAAAAGTTCGCCACTTTTAACTAGTAGGCTTTGGACCCCTTATTGATGATATGCCCTTAATGGAACTCGAAAACATATTTTTCCAGCAAGACGACGCACCGCCTCTGAACGCTGAAGTTATCAGCAAATTTTTGCAGCCAATTGAAAGAATAATTGAATAGCTAACCAAGATCCCAGCCGTTGGCCGTCGAGGCCTCCTGACTTAGTGCCCATGGATCTAATCTTATGGATATATTTGCTGAAGAATAAAGGTTCCTTATTCTTCCGTATAATCTAGATAAGAATTAGAAATACTTAGCAGTTATGAGAGGGTATCTTTCACTGCCCCGTCTGTCCACAACAGAAGACGGTCGATATATCGAACAACTGTAGCAAAATCTCATGTCTTGGTTTGCTATTTATTTTTATTGTTATTAGATATAGTTTAAATGTGTTGATGTTGGTTAAATATATTTTAAATTGTTACAAAATTCTGCATCTCTCATAGCAAATATTATTTTCGTTTTAATTGATGCTCACAGCTAGAATTTTTTTGCATTACAGCCGGTGCCGTTCAAAGCCTACTTATTTAAAACGGCCGAATTTTTATATACTCTATATCTCGAAGAGGAATCGAGCAAAATATCAAGTGTGTTATATTTTTGGAAAGGTAATTTTAAATTCTTTTCAATAAATTAAACATATACAGGGTGTCCCATGTAAAAAATCAAATTTTCTGTTGATAATTCTTAAATTATTTATTTTAAAAAAATTATACTTAAACCATTAAATTCTACGTAAAAAGGTGCTTTGGAAATGTATTCACAAAAATACAAAATTTTCCATAACAAAAAAGTTAGAGCGATTTGTTAAAAATGCATATTTTTGAAAAACACCCCGTAACTCCGAAACAGTAACAGATATCGATATGCGGTTTACACCATCATGTTTTTGACAAAACTTGAGCTCCAGACACCGATATTAGTTTTCGTCTATCTCCTATAGAAAAGGGTGTTTCCATTTAAAAGCGTCGAATTTGACCCACCCTGTACAGATTGATTTTAAAATCAAATTAATAGAGAATATAGCCTAAAAATTAATAATAGAGAATATAGCCGTATACATAAACCATTTAGAATAGTTTTTTTATGAATAAGCTCTTTCATCGATTTCCTTAAGACTCAATTTTGATTGTTAAAGTACCCGATACAAAAACAAACATAGACCGAGTCTTTACAGTGTCGAATTTGAATTATATTGAGATTTACCGAAAATACGCAGATCAAAATTCCAAAATCCCATATAATTTACATGTAGTGTGCGAAATGGACATTTCGCGCATTACTTCGCGCACCGTGTCATGGTAACGTAGGAAAATGAAAAAAGTGTCACTTCGCACATTGCTATCAATTCGCGAACCTTGCCATTTTTTGACGTTTGCAGAAAAAAAAATATTTAAGAGAGTATTTCATACAGTTACTTATTCTAAATAATATTCAACTTACGTAATAGCAAATTTGAATCCTTCGGGTACCGTTTCTCCACAAATAATACACAGTACCGCCAAAAACTTCTTGTCATCTGCTGAACCAAAAAGTGTAGGAATCTTAATTTTATCTCTGGGCAAGTTATCTTTAACAAACATTTATTTTTATTTTAAAATAAAAAATATATTATTGCCAAAATTCAAGTTACCAGGATTGGGAAGTATATTGCTGTAAATTTGCATAGGGAATACTCCAGAAGATTCCCTATTAGCCAAAAACTGCGTCACTTGACACTGTATATGGATAGTTTGCATATTTTTCTCTATATCTCTGTAGCTCATTTTCTTAATCAGTAAAGGATTTGTGATGCTTTTTTCCTCAAACGACATTCTCGATTCTGTCATCTCAACTACAAAAATATAATACATATAAAAATAATGTTATAAAATACTTAACGTCAAAGAAATTTTAAAACTGTTTTTGCTATGCTGCCATATTGCAGAGGTCGATACAACTGTTATTTCTAAATAACAATTAGAACTGACACTGTTATTTTAAAATGCCTTGAAATAACAGGTTTCTACTGTTTGTTGGTATAATTCAGGCAAAGCATCAAAAAAATCATTTATAAACATTCATGTATAAACATTATAACATAATCTCTGCCTGCAATCTTCTTACAATAACAATAAGCAGCAAAATGAAGTATGAGATAAAATTTATATATTTTATAGCATAACAGTTGCAACTATTTACAACAAAAACTTCTGTTATTTGCGCTTCCAAAATTAAAATATAGTAGCGACTCTCTTACTCGAAAGTCTGATAAATTTTTACTTTACATCTTTACAACTATGCATCGCAAGTGTGAAGAAACTGTAATTTCCTACCTTAAATTAACAGCTTACCTGGTGAAACATCCACCCATTGTTCTTGTTCCAGAGCTTGCTTGAGATGTTCTACGGATTTTTCCATAAATAACTTATTAGCTACTAAATCGGTAAAAGAAGACGAGTTTTGTTCGTAGAAGCGAATACAGGTCATGGCCGCTCTGACATAATCGCCCATATATTGTTGCAATTGATATAAACAATTCAGTAGGTTCTGTTTTTCCAAGTGGAAGCATATTTTCCTCAAATAGTTCTGAAATAATCAATATAATTTTATTAATTTTTCATACTTACCATCTTACCAACACATAAAAAATGTCATATACTTAAAAAACACCCTTATATTATTTCTTATCTAAAAAGTTCTTACCTGCCATATCATTAAAGAAGAATCAATCTGCGACATGTAAGCCTGCAACAACTCAACAGTCCCCTCCTTCAAACACTTCATATAAATATGAATAAAAACTTCATGACTCAGCCTCTTCTCAACCATGTACCTCAGAAGCTTCTCGTATTGTTTATACTTCAAATGAAACTCCACCAAACTGACACTGTTGCCATATTTCGCCAAATAATACACGCATTCTTCATAGATGACTGGATCGAGTCTTGGACTACTAAACCCAGCAAATTTATCTTTTGTGGAGTTATAACTCCCATTTTCTATGTCTTTCAAGTTATTGATTTTGTTTAAAATAAACAAAGCACCTTCAGATTGAAATGCCGAAGTACTACTTTGGTTTAGGGTCGTAGTAGATCCGGAAAATTTCAAACCATCCACCGTCTTGAGGACGGTTTCATCTATGGACTCTTTCTTGGACTCTAGAATCTTAATGATGTCGTTCAGCAAGGGTGGGGTTTTAGCTACCTTCAGAGTGGAAGTTTGGAACTCCAGGTATGTCATTTCGTGGTGGGACGCGGTTCTGTCTAGACATTTGCTGAATTTTTCCCTGGCTAACATCAGGCAGCCTGCCTTTAGGCAACTTTTTCCCCAGGCTACAAAAACACCTAATAAAAAAGAAATGTATATAATATTTATAAATGCCTTTATGGTCAAAAATTTTTACAATTTATAGACAAAGGTAAACTAAGCAAACAAAGTAAACAAACAAACAAATAAAAGAGAATACAAAACATTATAAAAATAACGTTGTCAGTCTTATTGTTTAAAATAAATATTTATAAATGTTTACAATGTCAAAGAATAAAAAAAGTTAGTTAGTTTATAGTAAATATCAATGACCTCTAAATAACTTTATTTCGATGTCATTGGTAAATATAGCAATAGCAAACATTAGACCAGTGTTTACAAGATCAAATTCGATTATCAAAATATAAGTCATTTACGGCGTAGAAAACCTTGTCTAGTAAATAAGATATCAATGCTTTGCGAAATGAAGAAAATGATGTTACGGATTTGATTTCAAATGGCAGGTGATTGTGCATTTTTTTCGAGTTCTATAATATTGAACTTTTAACTAACTATGAGCGTGGGGTAGGTAGATAAAGATCTTGCTCGGCGTTCCTGAGTGGATAAGTGTGAGATGGCCTTTCTTGAGAAGCTGATACATGCCTACGTATTAAGCAAACGGATTCAAATATAAATAAGGAAGGAAGAGTTAATATTTTTAATTTTTTAAAAAAGTCCTGGCAATGAGTTCTGCTGCTTAGTCCCAGTGAATATCGAACAGCTCTCTTCTGGAGCTTGAAAATGCGGTCAAATTGAGTCGCACAACACGTACCCCAAAATGGAAGGGCATACCTGAGGTGCGACTCAAAAAGTACATAATAAACAGTTCTAGCCACTGACAAGTTAAGCTCCTTAGAAACAGATCATAATGCTAAACAGGCAGAGCTCAATTTTTTCGACAAAGCGTCGATATGCATGTTCCATTTCAGAGAATTGTCTACAACAAGCCCTAAGAATTTTACAGATTTTACGATGTCAATGGTGGTGTTAAGTACAAAAGGCTGCAGCGAGTTAAAAAAAAAGAAAAAAAAGAAACAATATTTATAAATGCATGTCATTTAAGAAAATAACAGAATATTCACGTTATAGGCTTGGTGCATTCTATACCGGTGTTGCCACCACCGTATACGACAGAAATCAGAAATTTTCGCTATGTATTTCACAGCGTCCCGGTTACAGTTTAAAATAATATTGAAATCGTGGCTTTGTCATAATATTTAAAATAATATTATTTTTACACTTATTTTTTAACACTCAGGTACGAGGTTTGAGTGATGTAACGATTTTTCGGGTAGTGAAAAAGAATCCGAACTAGGGGTCGGCGCACGGTGGAGTATTAGCATGAAAAAGGTGATCGAAATTCTAAAAAGCAAATGTGTTTAAGATTTCCCAAAAAAAGATAAATGATAAATTAAATCATGTCTGTCATGAATGGCGTTGCTATGGGTGTGCACTGCCGTTCTTTAAAAGATCAGCCTGGGGGCGGACTTTTGTTTACTTCATCAGCTGTACATACTTAGATATTGGGTTAGATTCCGTTTCATATTTTGTCGGTTGAGTTTTGGTTTTAACTCTATGATTTTTGGTATTATTTATTATTGTAGTGCAGAAAACTAATTATTTTGGTGTTTAAGTGACATAAACTACTACCAGATATATGGTCACTCTCGGTTTCGCATAAAAAAATAGAAAAATTACACGTTGTGTAAGTGATTTAACCTAAAAGTGCCCATACATTTTTTACTCATCGTGATTTTTGTGTGTGTTTTTTAAGACTCTAACAATTCATCAATAAAGCTTAAGTGGAGTGTGTTTTTGGTGCTATGCCACATCTTTGTTGTGTTCCTGGTGGAAAGGATAGTTATACTAGGCAGCCTAAAGTGTCCGGAAGAGCAAGAAAAGTGGGTACGAGTTATAAATCAAGAGAATTCTATTGAAAATATCTTTAATAAATTTAAAAATAATATTCTCCCATGATGGTATTAATAAAAACTGGACAATTATGTTTATTTTATTCATATTGTGGAATCTCCACTCCAAGTGTTGTTGGCTCAGCTTCGATAGATTCAAACACGTAAGTAGGTATTATGATCTAGGGAAAAATAAAGAATATGTGTATTAAAGATCATGAAAAAGATTATTTTTTGAGTTAAAATTTTAAAAAAGATTTTTGTAAAGACAAGACTGATACAGTTTAAAAGAAGAATGTGTTTTTGTTTGATAATATATAATGTATGTCAAGTTGTCAAGCATAACATATATTTTTGTTCAGTAATTTTTAATGAATAGTGTTGATTATTTATAATACCAAATTAATATCAAATATTTAAGTGATGGCTGAATATAATATGAATAAAATAACAATAAAATTGGTATATTTGCATAATACAAAATTAAGTTTTAAGAATAAAGGTGTTACTAAAAATACTAAGAAATTCATATTTCTTTGTTTTAATTGGTCTAATGTTATTTACATTTTACGTAAGAATTATACCGTATCATCGAAAAATATCGGCGTCTAGTTGGCTTGGAAATGAACATCGATGACATTCCCTAAATAACTGTACACATAAAATAATTAACTAGAATTTTACAATCTTGGAAAATTTGATATTCTTGAACCTTGTTTCTAAATATTCTAAATTTTTTGATTTTCTTGGGATTTAGGCTCGGGAAAAACGCTGATTAAGTTTTCACTTGGTTTTTCATTATTTTTATTTGGTTTAAGAAAAAACGTTTCGGCTAACATTATAGCCTTCATCAGTGTTGTGTCATATGAAAAAAATAGTGTCGAATATAGTCCAAAAAATTACATATAAAATATTCACACCACACACATAATGTTTACTGCGTACTCCATAGAGAATGTAGATAATTTTAGTGTTAAGAATAATGATTTTAAAAAATATGTGGTCATCTTTTGATAAGTTTATATTAGTTTATTAATTGCAGTAAACATTATGAGGTGTGAATTATATTGTATATGTAATTTTTTGGATTATATTCGACACTATTTTTCTCATATGACACAACACTGATGAAGGCTATAGTTAGCCGAAACGTTTTTTAAACCAAATAAAAATAATGAAAACCCAAATGAAAATTTAAATCAGCGTTTTTCCCGAACCTAAAAATCCCAAGAAAATCAAAAATTTTAGAATAATTTTACTTATAAAATGCCAGCGATCTTCATTTCATACCCATCGCTGACGCCTTTTTTTAGATAATATTGTATTATTTGTAAATATAATTTTTCGAACATTGATACTTGCAAAATATACATATAAATTGTGAATGCAAATAATAATACATCACTATTAGTAGATATTGAATGTTTTTTGTTAAATTAGATCGATTTTCAAACCCCAAAATTTAAAATATATTTACATTTTACCCATTATCTTATGTACCTATACATTATTTGTACATTGTAAAACATTTGCTGCATTTGTATGGTTCATAGTTTATTTGCCAAAGTATTTATTACTATAAATAGGTATATATGTTGTAGTTATTAACTGTATATTATGTATATTTCATGTAAACTATATCATTTTTAAAATACAAACCAAAAATCTGAGGAATAATTATGTTTTCCATGTATTCTACAACATATTTATTAATCCGTTATATCTAACTAGCGTGACGTCATAAATCTCGCCCGTAGGCTGATCTTTTAATAGAAGGCACTGGGGTGTGTTAGTTGCATTCATTTGTTTCAACGAAACGTCAAAGTTGTTACTCCTCAGAGATAAGAGGTAAATGGCTAAATTTTATATTTAAAATTATAGATTATTGTTGTTTGTGTGCACCTTTTACGTTTATATTATTGTTTTGATTGAAAATGGCTCAGCAAGCTGCAGGTATGTATTCTACAAAAACATATTATTTATTTTGATAATCTCTATACTAATGATTTTTTTGCAACTAAAAGTTAGGCGTTCAGAAAATTTGATTAAATTTGTGACATTTTTATTATACTTAGAGATTTAGTTGCGAATTTCGAAGAATTCAGCATATTGACTATATACTTAGTAAACATTGGGCTTTCATACAGTAAAATAAAATACTGCGACTTTTTGCGACTTTGCTGATAAAATGAGAAAAACGTTCTTGGTTTCCTCTAATTTGCAAATCAGTGATATACTAATGCGAGGTGTAAACCAGGGGGGTGACAGTAAAATAGGAAAATTGGAAACAGTCATTAGTGTCATTCCTGTCATTCTCCTCACGACAAGTATGGCCGCCTAGACAAGGACAGCATTGTTTTTGTCTAACTATTATCTAACTTCACAGTTTAGAATCGACAGATTTCAGTTTCAGAGACAACTTCAGATATGTTCTAGAACAAATTCGAAAATTTCGACGCCATTTTAATTCATTCCGTTTAGTTTCGTTTTGGAAGCTCAATTTAATATTTCGGCTGAAATTTATAAATATAAAGGTAATAAAGTATATAAAATATATATTACATGAAGAATCCTGGAGAAAATGACGTTTCTGCAGTAGTAGGTATGTCGGTAGTCCCATGTATATGAAAAATAAGTAGTAAATAAACACTGTTTTTACATTTTTTAGATGCAAGAAAATGGTGTTATAATCTCTTTGATCGGCGATTTTTTTGAAAATGGAAACAATTTACAGCAAGGTAAGATCATTTTTAACTATAGCCAACATTAGTTATCTCCAATATGTGCGATTTATTGTCAATAATGCAATAAATCTGACTGATAATCTGATTATGTTATCCGACTAAAAGTCTCTTTTTGCATCTATTTGATTTATAAGCCAGGTTCTTTGGGAATAATGGACGCTTTTTTTAAACAGTATATTTATATTTTATACCTATTGATATTTTTACATTGTTAATTTTAGTATAAAAAATTGTTTTTCTGTTTTCAGGTTTTTGTATAAGGGCTCCCGTTTTCATGTTCCTGTGTCCGTTTTCTGTCCTTGAAGTTTGCGAATGTGTGTGTTTATTTACAAATTACTGTAAGTCATGCTTATACCTTAACTAATTTACGTTAAAAGTGCATAT